AAGTTTACGTGTTTAACCCCGGGTAGAACGGTGTTTAGGCGATTCCCGAGTTCCGTGGTTCTAGAAAGGTCGCTCAACTGTTATTATTGACCTATTATCTGATTTTAGAAACTATTTTAAACCTATGTGCGTTTTTAACCTTTAAACCGCTTTTATTTATTTTTAAGAAGATTTAACGTCGTCTAAAATATGTCTTTAGATCGCCTCACATGAAATGCACCCGCAATCCGAAACACATTTTATTCAACGTCATAAGGATTTGGATTTGGGTCACATGAAATGCACACCCGAGTTTAGGAAGGTAATATTATTAAGGTACGCGCCTAAAGCAAACTACAAATGCAAGCGAGAAAGCCCGAGATCATGGGGGTTCATTTATATTTTGGTGAAGCACAAGAAGACATATCAGAATGACAATTTACTGCTTTTACAATTCCAGAAACAAAAGTACCATTTCTTGAAGCCAAACTTCGATAACCCAGCACAAAAAGAGCAAAACAGTTGCTTTCAGAATCATAAAAGAACATTTATTTAAAACAACAAATCAAACTAAGCAAACTGTTATGAAAGGCATGGGTTATAATTTCAATGCCCAGATCCTTATCCTTCTATGGATGAACAGAGGATATCCCCTTTTAACTTTTCAAAAATGACTGAATCGTGTTCATAGTTTCAGAATATTGTGCATAGAAGACACTTTATGAAGTGACTATTTCTAACAGGACAATGGGTAAAGTTATCAACCAACAGAACCTCTTACCCTTGACTGCCCTTATGAAACTTAGCAATTATAACTTAGTATTCCAACAGAGTTCAAAGGAAAGTCCTGATTGGGGCAAGGAAACTAACACATCTATCAATAAACAGGATTAATGAAAGATGCAATTTGACACTAACAAAGTGATTGAGAGAGCTTAGACAGATATCTGTGGTCAAATCTTCATTTAATAATAGGAACATTGTCGAAATTACCAACAAAACGCATGATCGATGCATACCCATATTAACAACCAAAGAAACAATGATCTGATTTCAAGAAATCTTCAGAAGAACCAAGGCATTCAACTTGCATTTGAACCCAGATATTTCCACTTTATAGTGACCATACTATCTCAAGACACCTCCAGGAAAGACCCCATGTGTTGAAACGTGAACAAGAAGTTCAGTAAGATAATTAATGGAATTCATTCTCAGGGAACGCATAGGAAACAAGATAATCAGTTACAATTCAACCCTGCGATCGATCAAGTTCTCAAAGAGGAGGACAGATTGAGGTTTTCCTAAAAAAACGAAGAGAAACTCAAAGGGCAGATTGAGAGGACTTTGTGAACATGCTGAACTTTCCTCCTAGAAATGGACAATGAACTCAATTATCCAAACAGGAGAAACCAATCAACCTGCTACTTACAGAAGGGGAGGGATGTCATATAGAACCTCATCCATGTCATATCACCTTTAAAGCAAAGCTCTAAACAACAAAAAAATACAGCTCATCTAAGAGCCAGCTTGTTTTTGACGAAATTTTAGTTAGGTTTCATATGTAACTTACCCAGACTCAATCACCTCATGGAATCCAATCCAAACAATAGAAGACGATAAGCATAAAGACTTAAATAAACTCACGTTGAAGCAAAAGATAACCAACAAATCCTACATCACATGGATACAACAAAACTATAATTCAAACTAGCAGAAATTGCAGCTGAAGCTACTCAGAAGCGCAACAAACTGGACGGAAACACGTTAAGGAACTGAACTTGCAATATCTCTTTATTACAATTTTAGGTCACAACCCCTGAATCGAATTCTCAGCCAACAACACTCCAAATTAATCTCCATTTGTATTCACATTTCCATAAATAAAAAAAACAACAGAACCACTCAAACAAACATATACAGACTCAGAAAACCAACTCGAAGCTCAACCAAGCATCACAAAATTGTTCAGTGATGTTAATATTTACTTCTTAGGTATCCAGAAATCGATTCAAACAAACAAGACATTTCAGCTCACACAAAATAGAAAAATAGGAGAGTTTGGAAGTGAACCTGGGAATGAATTTTCGATTAATGCAATTTAATGATTACAACGATTTTCAGAGGAAGCGAGTCCAAACAGAAATTGCAATGAACTCACGAATCAGCAGCTAAACGAACAGCATTGGAGCAGCTCGAAACCAACAGCACTCAGTCGACTTCCATTAACTCAAAATGAAATTCAGAAAACGAACTCAGCCTTCGAGCTCAAACCAGACTCATCATGAAAATGAAAACTTCTGAACTTCAAGATGAAAAGAACAAAGGGCTAAGATTAAAATGAAAACGATTTTTTTTTGTATTTTTCTATTGTAACTGGAATTAAACCAAGATGGTTTCAGGTGAATAAAAGAGAAAAGAGCTTAATTCGAATCCTAATTTCCAGGTGACCTCTCCTCTCTCCAAAAATCCCTCCGAATAATCCCTCTTTACAAAATTGGATCCGGTCCCTTTTGAAAACGAGCCCCTGATGAATGTGGGGCTCGGATTGAGTGAAATCAATCCAACGCCTCACACTCATCCAACGATCATTCTCCAGAACCTTCCAATCGTGTGCTATATCTCGAAATCGGGCAAGTGAGAGGAGGGAGAATCTTTGGTGTCAGAAACCGTTAGAATATTTGGTGACATGGTGAGATGGGGGTGCGTGAGGTGAGTTTGGCTCACTCGCCTGAGATTTGGCGAGTTTGGACGCGGATTTAGGCTTGTTGCAGAAGAAGAACAGTGTTCGTCGTTTGGGTCTTGGGAGATTTAGGGCTCTGTATTGGGGCAAATACATGGTGCTCATATGTGAAGGTTTGTGGGGCGGGTCGCATTTGGGCAGACGGGCTGGGGCGGGTTGTGTGCTGAGCTAGGCGGGTAAAGGGGAAATGGAATTGGGCTTAAGCATTGAATTGAAATCAGCCCAAGATTTGATTCACATCTTTTGCTTCCTCTTTTTCATTTCTTTTCTTTTAATTCCTTTTAAATTAA